AAATACAGACTGTATTCTGTGTCTGCTGGCGCATCAACATGGCTGAAAAAAATTGATTTTGAAATCTATGTTTCTTTCTGCAGAACGCTGGGAATATGGTAACAGTAGATCTTCACACGCCAGGAGCAGGTTTCTTCGACACTCACGTTACATGGGAGGACATAGAAGAGGACATGCGGCGCGAGCTGGGCACTACAGCTTCATTTGGACCGAATAACTCCGTTCGCGTCATGGGAGATGGCAAGGTGTGTTTACTGTTGTCTACTTTGAAAATCATCAAGACAGAGCGCTGAGCAGTTTTTAAGCATCGTATCATATTGGCCCTACAGCCCCGTTGCATAAATTTATAATTTTCCAAAGTTACATCGCTATTCCTCATTGACCTTGGGCCAGCGATGAACTTTTTCAGACATAGGCTCATCCACTTCTCAATTGAAGCTACTAATAAGGACCCTTTTCCGACCGTACATGGCCCTATTGCCCCGCTTCTGCTTCACTTTCGCACTATTTAGCTTCACTGCTTCCGTTTTCTGCAGGGAATCGAATTATCGTATCCACGTCCCAAAGATAATTGAAAACCGGAGCATTTAAACTAGTTGCGACCTTGCAGGATCCCTACACACCTCCCAGTGGCGACTTCTACAGCTAAGATAGAATCAGCTTTGCAAGAATCAGAGCTGTTGTTGAAATCATTGTCTTTCAGGGTTTCATGTCAAGACTGCTCTCGTCGAAGCCGATTGGCAGCCTAAAGATGCGGAATTGCCAGATAAATTTCTTCTCAAGGTAGGGCAATCGGTCTCCTGACAATAATAATTGGTTGGTAAAGTGTAGTAAAAAAACTGTTGTTTAAAAAACAGTGCCTCTAACATTCCATATCAATCCGCGAGTTTTATTTTTTTCCAAATAGCAAGGACATCTAAGAAGCCCGCAGATTCTTGTCATAATGGGAGCCAATTACACCTTCACAGTTCTACATGACAAATCGTCAGCCTAATGGGTTCAGTGAATTTGTCGCGCTGCCTGAGGGCAACGGTCCGTTTACCCGAGAGGTGCGTGGACCATTAATTCTGAGTTGCGGAGGTGGTTTGCACTACTGGAAGTGACACATACTCAAGAGGTAGATCGTTCCCATGCTCAAAGCGTGCAAGTGCCAATTGCTTTGACACTCCAAAGCACACGGAATTTGAGAGCTGCATTGAGCTAGAGCCTTGTCATTGGTCTCCAGCCGACGGCATAAGCAGAGGCACATCGTTGGTTGGGGAATCCCCAACAGGGGGGTCGTATTTGGCCGCCAGGAGAGGGAGGGGGTCGTAGTGAGTGCGGCAGCCAGTAACGAGCAGCGCAAATTGTCAATGTGCTGAGTCCTGTACAACGAAACTTGCTTTGTAGAGAACTCGGATATGCAAAAAAATAGTACAAAACTTTCATTCATCAAACTAATCCGAAATAACTGCAAATATTAATAAGTCGACATCATCTCGTAAGTCCGTTGGTGACTAAACAGTACAACTCAAACTCTGGTTCGCTGCCAATGATATGGCGTGTCCGCGGTCGCGCTTGGCGCTGAGCCAACCTGTTTTTTTTCTCGACAAGCGACAGGACTACCATATCGTTCATATCAGACGTTTTCCGTTTTCCAACAGTTGGCTCCTTTATGCGGAGTCAAGCGATTGGGCCCAGAGCACGGAATCTTGGCAGTCGTTGACAGGACTATGTTCCATCATTACTGACAACGGAAAAACACATGTAAACAATTGCACAGGCGTCGCCATTGACCTCCGCCTGAGCTTATAGACCACATTTGCCGCCGTTGAAACAGACATTACACACAAGTTGCACCATCCCATCACCTCTGCGCGGCCCTCAGTGCGCGGCGCATCCAAAGTTGGCGTGATCGGCGCTAAACGAACCATATCCTGCTCCTGCTCCACCACAGGATACGTTCTACATGCGTTCCTGGCTATTCGAACACGCTCACTTGAAACGGTACACAGGAAACGGGTTTTTCGCGCAGCTGGGAGTGTTCCTCAAGAAATCCCCATAGCGAGATCTCATGAATCGAGAGCTTCAGAAACAGTTCAAGAGGTTTTTAGAAAGAGAAACTCTTCAAACTCGAAACCATTTCTTTGTCGACGATTGCATAAACGTTTTTTAGTACTTTTTAGAATGGCAAAACCTTACTCAGCACGATACGCTCTCTCCTCCCACAGGTCCGCTTTTGAGGAAGTTATGGTCCTTCAAAGACACCTAACTCAGCTGGAAATTCTCGCTCCATGGCTAAAATTGCCGAATAATCTCCTGTCACAGCCGCAATTACATGCGCTTCTGCTACCGTACTCCAATAATCGGGGTAATGCATTTTTACGGCGGTTTGTATAACTGTTACGTAGTGAGACAAGCCTAACTTTCTCTTTTCCTCGTCCTCAATCTTGGGAATAGACGTTGTTAACACTGTGGTCGCTGATGGCCGCTCCCAGAGAGGGAGTCCACCTCAGGTTAACGAATGCTCATTGAATTTAATCGCGATACATCGTTATTATTACCATGTGTGTTTCAAAACGGCCATCGAAGAAGTTCATCATACGAGTTTCTCATAATACGATTGTACCGTTTTTTGTTTGCAATCATCTCTGTATTGTTCTATTATGTCATGACTTCAAGTCGTCCATTTAGTATGGGCACCTTCATACAAGTAGAATTTCATAGTGGGCGTTTCATAGTTTCATTTAAGGCGAAAAAAACCGAACGGCAAAAAAAAGGGGGGGTCGTACCGAACCCCCAAAAAAAGGGGGGGGGTCGTACAGGCTCGACCAAAATCCCCATCGAATGCTGTGCCCTGAGGCCAAAGTCGCTACACAATTTCTGGTCGCATTTGCCGAAGTGAGTTCGGAATTGTGGGGTCGTGAAGGGTGAACGGCGTCTAGTTTTTGAAACCACTTTCTGAAATCAAAGGTCACCTGTCAGCGCTAGTCAGTGATGCACTCATCATCCGAGATAATAACACGGTACCGAGAGATTTGCCACGTCGGGTGCATTCAGCTGAACCAACTGGTTACCGTACAGGTAGATAAATGAGGTCCAACTTACTTCGAACCTTTTCGAATGGCCAGCTGTTATTATTGATTTTTTAATAGAATTATCAATGTTTCCGAACCGCTGATAAACGGATTTAATGAGCGCTTCCTTGCTCTTGATAAGGAAGATCTTGGTGATGAGAGGTTTTTTGGGTCAGGAAATGACAAACAAACACCAGCGCTACGGCTAGACGAGTTGAGTTTGTGGCTTTGGATTCTTTCGCTAATGTTCTTCACCTTTCGCAAAACCTTAGCGTGGTGAACTCGCTGATTTATCTATGCTCTATGCGAAATGGTTTTTGTATGCGGACACTTAACGTGGTTTCGCTAGGACCAGTTTTGCCTGCTGGGCGGACCAGCTGTTTCCGAGGCTGTTCTTTAGTTTTCGTGCTAGTTGATGTTTATTTATTCATCTCGATACAATTCAGATCAGTCCCCGAAGAACTACTGATAACTGTCGATCCCCTAAAGGGCTCAGACTTACCTAATAGCTGCTAATGCTCGGCTGGTGGCTACCCATCTCGTCTCTACGGGAGAAGGGTTCAAAGGTGCATTTAATTGGGACTCAACAAAGAAGGATTATTAGTGTTCATAGCGGGTTGCTTACCCTGAAGATCTGCTTGACTTTTCTTCGATATAGCTGCTCTCTTTATCTTCTCCCAAGGATTGATCAACCGTTCAAAGTCCGAATGTGCTAAAGGGGGGGGGGGGGGAGGAGAGGGGGAGGAAAGGGGAAGTCCAAGGGTTCCTGTTCATGATTCTATGCTGGAAGGCAGTTTATTGGCTCTGCCGAATGTTCTATATTTGCATATTACCGCCTTCCGTCGGTGTTTACTCTTGTAGCCCATTCCTTCGATTTAAAGGCAGTTGGCACGATGATTTGGTGCTCGGCCTAAAATGCTAGTAGGGCGCTATATAGTGGGGAAATGGCGAAAGAACGGAGTGAAACGGTCAAAATCCTGCGAAGAAAGAGCCTCCGTTCTCAATGTGTTAGAAATCAATTTTGGACGAGTTTCCTGTAGGCATCTTGCCAATAACCGCTACCGAAGGTACGGCTGCATATGTGTACTCATATATCCATGCAGCATCACGGCCGCTTCATACCAATCCCTTCGCTTCATAATTTGCTTAGCAAATGAATCGATTAGAGCGTCAGGAACGGTCGTCCATTTGTGGGCGGGCGGGCGTGGCGGGCGTTTGGGACGTAAAGTTGTGGCTTGATAGGGCCCTTATAAGGGCACCTCCCTTGGAAAAGGCATTATGCAGCGCCTGCTCAGGGTCGCGGAATTCCGTCCTGCCAGGCGTATTAATCCTGCTCGGGGATTTATCGTGCCAACTGCCTTTAAAGGCAGCGTCCGCGATCAACCAAAGTGAAAAAACCCTCCATTGAAAACGAACGCGGAGTCCGCAATCACAGCAGAAATCCCACTCTTGCGGCTCGAAATCGATTGGTTGACGAGGGCGGAGTCAACAGAGCCGGGCTGACGCCTCCTGTCCTGTTAATCCCGCCCCGACTGGTTGACAGTTATCAATGC